GTGAGAGTTTATTTGTAAGAAACTTGACCACTTCGCACAGGCGATTGAAGTTCCTTTTATCATCACGGTGTCTGGTATGTTGATACGCTCGTCTTGCAGCATTTCTCTCTTTAATCAATAATCTGAGCTCTTGAGGCTTGTGTTTCATACCAGGTTTAACTTCAACTTGTGCTTTCGCATAAGCATTTTGTATATTTTCAGTGAGGTCCTTGACCAAACTATCAATGTCACTCCCCTTGTGTATCGTGGGTAAAGTGTACTGGGTGTTGGAGAGGGCCTTGGCAAAGACCTGCCAGTCTGTACGAAAGGCCCTGGTGTCTGATGTAGTATATCTGCTGAGGTCCAGAATAATCCTAACAGGATTGTGATCACTTGAAAGTTCGTCCAGTACGTAAATATCCAGTGGAGAACTGGTGTTCCGCAACAGGAAAAAAAAAAAAAAGAAGACTGAATTTGAAGGCTAAATGTTTAACATTTTACTAAATGGCAACAGACGTGAATGAAAACTAAAACGACGCATTTATAATGTCAGTGCCAAAGCAGAAATAGGAAAATTGCATAATTAGTTATCATGATGCACACTAGAGGGAGCTACATTAGCTCGAGAAAGTTTAGGGATAGGAAAATCAAGTTTTGATTTTTTTTTAAGTTTTATGAGTTAAAACTTTTTTTGTATTTTTTAATTATATATATATATTTTTTGGAAGCACTTCCGCAGAGAACCCGGTAAATGTAAACATCGCTAACTTTGGCGATAATAGTTCAAACCAGGTAACCCAGCCGATTTATCGTTTTCGCTTGTTCGAAGTTTGCAACCATTTCTCTTGCGTTCATTTTGTTGAAATATCACTGTTGTTGTTCGCATTTGCAGATTTACATTATTCTTCTCTTATTTATTATTATTTTTTCTGAAATTTTAACAACGAATAGATAGAAATATTTTCGTAGATAGAGACCAGTTCTCGGTTCGGGATGAAAGGAAGAAAATACGGCGGGAGGGGTGAATGCTAATTTGTAACACGGCTGTTCACGTGTGTTCTTAATTACTAACAGCTCTAAGAACCATGAGATTTCCAACCTCTAAAATAATTTGTTTCCGTAGGCCGCAAAAATATGCATGTGCATTTTAAATAATTAAATAATGCTTTTATTTTTATTATTGGTTATTGTCACCTAAAATTATGAGAATAAATCAATTTTTATGGCGTAAAATTTTAACAAGATAATACATTGTTAATGCTTTTCTAACAATAACCTTTCAGAGGATGGTAGGTGTGACATAAATAAATGATTAAATTGAAATAAAAAAATATTCTTGATTATCTAAGATGACAGAATAGTTAGATGCATCACCATGGTCATCACAATTAGCAAACCACTGCTGATGTAAGGAATATATTGTTTTCTGTGTTAATTGGAATTTAAGACAAATTTTTTTCGTTTCTCACGTTTAACCGGTTAATTTCTATACATTAATACTAATTTATAATTTTAAATGAATTTTTATTTCCGTTATAAATGCTTATATATTGTCTTATGCTTAATATATTCTTTTTTGTGCTAACTTGAGTTTAATTCAAATTTATTTTCGTATATCACGTTTAATCGGTTAGTTTTACATCTACATGCTTATTATCTGTGAGTTTTTACTACCATATGCTTGTTTTGTCTGCTAACTTGAATTTACATGCACTAAAAATCACGTTTACAAAATATCACAGTTACGGCTCGGCTCATCGTCGATGAACCGTGAGCTTGGCGACTAAAAATGCAACGGCGCCAACGGATTCTTTCCCGAAGCGCCAACGGGTTCTCTGCGGATGAAAACCTTTTTTTTTTTTTTTTGGTGTTTTTTTTTTTTAATTTTATAACACATAAATATGACACTAAAGCAAAAAGTGGAAAGGAAAGATTTTACAGATTAATAGACTCATTGGCATATGGCACAAACCATAGTGAAATAAAGATTAAATTTTCGCGACGAAATGTCCAGACAGCAATTTATTTCGGCATGATGTGATTAAATAGTGAACAGATTGATAAGAATGCAGAGGTGGCCACTTTTCAGTAATATTGGAGTAGGAGAAAGCAATTATAGCAGAGCATTTATAATGATAAACTATTATAAGATTTATAGTGATTAAAATATTACGCAATATTTTTGGTCTGCAAACCACTAATTTTGTTCAGCCCCTGAAAATGTTGTTTAGGCAACAAGTGAATGAATTAGATTTCCTTAAGACATTTTTTAAAGTAACTTCCTATTAACCAATGACTTAAATTCAAAGCTTTGTTTCTTCTAATCTGAAAACAGATGAATTCTTAATTTGATTATGTTTTCCGTCCCTAGATGGCAGCACTTCCTGGACGCTGTAGCTAAGGATTTTTCAGCGCCTGCGATTTTCAGGGACTGCGAAGATGTGCTCCTCATGTTTCCCCAAAACGGAAAACATTTCATGGCGGCCCTGGATGCTACGTTCGAGGCAAATGCTCCCCCTTACCCCCTGTAGCTGCGCCCCTGCTTTTTATGTGCGGTACTGACTTTTCATTTAGTTACAACTGCAAAATAATGGTTGTATGCAAAACCACTGAGCATCTGGCAAAATAAAGCTGAAAGTCAAATGACCTTGTTTACTTTTACTCTGTAAGACTTATCAGTGAATGATTTTGACATATTGTAGAGCTCTGCTTAACTCATGCAACTGGATTAGAAACCACATACGATGACACGTTTTTCAGATAAATAGTGGTAACTTAACAATTTAATCCTTAAATAGCTACAAAATTGTTAGGTAACAGTAGGCATTGCGATCATTTAAGTATCTGCTTTGTGCTGTCACTCTCTTTTCATTCGACACAAGCAAGTTGTAAGGCATCTACATAGCTATATTATCTGAAATAATGAGTGAAATTCTTTTTAGGTTCATTTGGCTTTTATACTTTAATCTATGAGGTTTTGTTAATTAAAAAAAAAAAAGTACACCTTACGCAAAAGAAATTGGACAGTTCTATATCTCCCGTTAGGGTCGATTTACGAAATTTTAACTTGCGTTTTTCATGTTTCGAAAGCGCGGATTTAAGGATATATGTTAAGTTTCGATATAGATTTGTTCTAATATAGGTATACTGGCACAAAAAATAGGACGTTTTCTGAAATGACATACTTATTTTTTTCCATATTTCGATTCTAGGACTCAAATTATGCCATCGCAAGAGCAGTTTTTGAAAATTAGCTCTCAAAGTTTTTTCTTCAATGTTGAATGAATTTGGTGCATATCTCTTTTGTTATTAAACTTATTTGATTCCGTCTCTCACAGTTCGAAATTTAGGTTCAATCCAAATAAAATTCGCAGCTACTTTTTGATTTGCTTTTAAAATTTGTATATTTAGTAATTTCTATAAATTGATGAAAACGTTTGAATTACAACCTATGAAAGTTTTAACATCACCTTAAAGTAGATATAGCAAATTTATATATCGGCGCGTTTTGAATTTTGATATATTTGTTGTAAGGAGGGGCGCAGCTAGAGGGGATCAAGGGGGCAGATTCCAGTTGGCGTCAAACTGTTGTTAAGAATTGTTAGAATGATGTTTCCCACTCCTGGCAAGCAAAAGGGGGGCCCGAGTTCTTCAGTTGTCCTCGGGCACTGAAAACCCTAGCTACAGTTCTGGTTGTAAGCTCTAGTAATAATAACATCAGATGCTTTTTGTTAAAATTATTTCAAAGAATGAATGGAGCTCTTTTTTTTCCGTTTGTACACAGTGAAAGGGAAAGGAAAATGGGTTGCCATAAATTAAGAATATATCGGTATGTTATTCCAAGGAAATAGTCATTCAGTTAAGCGAAGTTACATTAAGATGAGTTTTAGGGTAAAATAGATAAAAACTGCCTTTTAAAAACATGAACGGGATTGATATTGTTCTTCCGTAGTCTCAGGATTTATATTAAAAAATATTGCTCCGTAAATTTCATGCAATTAACTCAGAGCTAAATAAGCTAAAAACTGCCAAAACATGCGCATACACATACACGCAAGGAAAAAGAAAGAAAGAAAAATATATTTAAATTTATTTGTAATTTTCTATGACTTCTTCTTTTTTTTTTAATTAATTTAAATGAATTTTTATTTGGACAAAGATCAAGAATATATAACCCTCCCTCCCCACCCAAAGAAAATTAAAACTGTCAGATATTATATTACGCCCAAAGGGGCGTTTTTTAAACGTTTTTTATGTTACCTTTATTTATTAAATATCATTTTATTCGCACTTAAACCACATAAAATTCAGTTCAACGGCAATATCACAAAATATTTAAAAGCAGCAATTTCCGATAGACGGTCTCACTCGCTGGAGATAAAAATGCTACTTTCCGTACAGTGTTGCCATTGCTCAGTTTGAAATGGTTGAGTCTGTTAATCAAAAATTCGTTTAAGTTTTACAAAATATAAAATAGATAATAAAACAAATTCGAAGTTCAGCAGTTCCAGGTGCCCATGTTCAAATTTATTACGTTATTCAAAATTTGATAGCTCTAGGTATCGTGGTTTTTTCACAGTGCGAGAAACATACATAAATTCATATAGGATCTTCACTATTTAATTTCTTTAAATATAAACAGGACGATAATATTTGGTGGCAACAATTTAAAAAGTGAAACGGACATTTATAGTGAAACAACTCAAAGTGCCGTTTCGAAACTAACAACCCTTCTGATTACCCCCCTTTATACCGTCCCTTCGGGGTTAAAAGGTTTTCAGATTAATGTATTTTTGAGGGTAATTTTAAAAACAGTATTCTAAATCTTGCACAATCAGCATCGGTTTATGAATTTATATCACTGCTACAAAACACACATGATAGAAATAAATTCATAAGCTAGCACATGTTCTTTTCCCACGCTTAATTGATTATGACGGAGAGGAAAATGGCAGCTTTTACAGGTCGTAAAGACTGAATAAGGAGATTGCCCAGCAGTTTCAGATTATATACAGTAAGTAATATTTTCTCATGGCAGTTAAAAGATGCATTAAAAATATACTTCATATTTAATGTACTTTAATTCATATTTATTAACATCAAATACAAAAAGGCACTACTGTTGACTTAAAGGTAAGATTTTGTTAATAATCCTATCAATGCTATTAATGTTTTAAAACCTAACTCCGTTTCTCATTTGATGAATTAGTGCTTTAAAAACTAAAATTAGACAACTCAGACTAGGATTAATTAAGAGAAAATTTCATCGATTTTGACGGCGTTACATCCGTGAAGCATCCTTCCTTTTCAAGAAGTGAAGCTAATTTTAAAAATTTGATTCAATATTCTGATGATTTGCAGAAAATTCACAAACTTCAGAAATGGCTTACTAAACGCACTGTTTTGGAATTTCGTCGCTAAACATTGCTGGGGGTCGCTCGTAGTATGAATTACACTCTAAAAATACTTGTGATTATAGCTCGTTAAACTGGTTCGAAAGGACACTTATAAACAGAGAGTATTTTTTAATGTGATTTAGTTCTAAATTTTAACAATTTTCTTTCCTTTTAACAATTTTCTAGTTCCGACTTTTCAAAATGAATATATTTTACTGGAATACTTTGTTAAATTTGAGAAGGAATAATAATATTATTTACGAAACCTAATTAATTGACAAAATTTATTTTTTCTCATTTTACCTTCTTGTTACACAAAATAAAATTAGTATTACTTAAGTGCATACTTTTCTTATAAAAGAATATGCGAAAGTTCGAATAAATTTCATATGATTTCCTTATTTTAAAAAGATATCTATTAACGGTCTTAGTTTTAATTCGGAAACTTTAATGAAAGATTACACGATAGCGAAATGTTATCAAACATTATTTTCCCGTCGGTCTCTTAAAAAGGTACCCATTTTTAATGAAAGCTACCCCTTAATTGTTTACCCTCATAATTATGAAATGTAACGCACTGTTTTGTCTCATAGCTTTAATTCAGGTTGAATGTTCATTATACCCAAATAAATGTGGTATCCTAGGTTTTAAAAAAACTCATTAATATAAATATTAATTTAAAAATTTTCGTGATGCAAAGAAATGAACTCACAATACGTATTCAAAAATTGTGGATTAATGAAAATCAAACGATAATACATATTATGATAACTAATTTTATTATTATTAATATTCTTTATTTGCATTTTAAGTTTGAAGACTTTCAAGAAATAAAATTTTGGAAATTCTTTAGATCTTATGTGTTACAAGAGAATATCTGGCGTCATAATTGCAAGATGTTGCAATGTAGATATAAATGTGCAAATAAAAGGTGCTTTTTTTTCTATAGCAACATCTCAGAATGTTTGAAAACACTGTTTGGCTATTTTATAAATATTGTATTTCAGTACTGAGTTTTGATTTTGTTAGCCTAAAAACAGCTAATGAGCCTAATAAACTGATGAGCGGTAGCCTAATAAATGATGACTGGTTGCCATAATACTCTTTTTAAATTGCAGTTTCGCTTGGTTTTTAATTTCAAATTGATTTACATTCTGGTGAAGACGACTTTTTCTTGCGGCAATGGGGCCCACCAGCGGCCAAGCGGTAAAGTCGCTGAACACTGGTAGTTCGGTCCGAGGTTCGAATCCCGCGAACAGGCTGGCTGCAGGGGCGTTTTCGTGGTTTTCCCCATGTGTAACGTGTATACGAGCCAGTTTCCCTTAGAAAGTCCTCCACGAAGGCATCCCATCCCTTAGGCAGATAGCCCTTGAGGTTTTGCCATAATCACACACACACACACCTGCGGCAATGGAATTCCTTTATGGTGGCATGTTTTCCCCTAACATGTCTCAATAATATGCAATCTTTGACATAATGTCGTGCATTGCCTTCAGCACTACAAAAACTATAACGACTATTACTTTGCAAAGTAAATGTTTTGAGCTACGACGAGAAGCTCTGGTGTCCAGTCATAATTTAACTGTAATCAAAATTGCATATAATTCTCATATCTTTAGAAAGTTCAAAGTTCAACAAATAAACTTTTCTGTTTTCTCTTTCCAGCAATCAAAAACAGAAATCCGTGATTTTTGTCAATAACAATCCTTTTTGATGCCTGAATATCGAACGCATCCCCGGCACTACCCATAGAAGTCTCTTTGGCCAGCATGCCGGCCCTTTCTTTGCCTATTACACCAATATGGGCCACCACCCAGTTCATTTTCACTTCATGTATTTTCTCAACTTTTACAAGGAGATCTTCTATATGGGAGACCAAAGTATTAACGTTATTAGTCAATGAGTGATGTGCATTATCCAGTCAATCACCGCCAGGAGATTATAAAGGTAAATGAGATTCTCAAAATACCTTGACCGCTAGTAGATTGACCGCCAGCACATGCTTCTGCACCGAAAGAAAGAGTGACCTCCAGGACATCCTTCTTGATCACCAGGAGATTATAAATGAGATTCTCAATTAGCTTGTGAAACACAGAAATGGTAGACGTCCACAGACACGTAAAAATGACTTCCGTTTACATATGGTATAGGAATGGGAGCGCTGGTATTTGAGATGATTATTAATCACCAACAGTAAGGCTAAAGCTGCCTCAGATCTCATTCCAATTCATAGCTTTTGCCATTCGGACTTTCAATGATCACACTCATCGTATTCTGTTTCATACCTTTTGCCAATCAGACTTTCAATGATCATACAGTGCAGAAATAAGATCGCTGTAAATATTTTTTTTTATTCTGCTTCATTGTTAGAAAGGATAAAATTCAAATCTGCAAATAATCTTATAAGTAATTTCTCTCGCCTTCTTGGCATGCCTTCATGGTGTAGTGGTCAGCAAACTCGGAAAGTATTCGAGGTATCCGTGGTTCGAGTCACGGCGAAGACATTGCTCCTTTTTCATCGCTCCTGCTTAAAAAAAATGTCTTTACGGTGGACTCGAACCACGGACCTCTCAGACACGCGCCGAGTATGCTGGCCACTACACCACGAAAGCATGCTGAGCAGGCAGGAGAAATACCTTATAACGTGAATGAATTCAGGTTGCCATGAGCGTAATTATTAATTAAATTTTTATAAGTAAAGATGAGAAAAGAATAAACTATTGTTTATAATGAGTTAAATTTCATTCATCTAGAACTGAGGAGATGGCTTCTGCAATAATGATGTACGTTTTACCCATGATGCTTGGCCAAACATATGATCTGGGAAAAGAAAAACCTGGTCTTCAGATATACCCCACATCTGTTGCAGAAAACTCTATTGTAAGTTGCTATATTTAAAATACATTATTTAAAATTTAAATTGCAGCTCTGTTTTTACTTTGATAAATTCATTGAAAGACTGTATTTACTAAGCAATAGCTCGCTCATTTAAAAACAATTTTGCAAGACATAAAATATTTTTAACCTTTGTGTTGGTATTTGAAAATGATTAAGAAATTGCACATCCTTTCATAAATGGTATGAATATTTTTTTTTTTTTTTTTTTTTTTTTTTTTTTTTAAATTCACTAAGTTCAGTTGCAGAATGTTGATAACGCTTGATAACACGTTCACAAATGGTTACTAGCACTCATTTTCTGAAATTGAGGAAACTTTAGTCTACAGCAAGTACAGTCAATCCCCGATGAACCGGGCCTTGTCTAAAAAGATTAAGTTTGTTTATTGTGAAAGAGTGGAAAACTGATACCATAAACCATCAGCATAAACCAAAATTTCATCAAGAAATATGAATTTTTTTCCTTAACGGCAGGCACTAGCCATTACAGGTGTTGGCCACTACTAAGGCCGGAAGCGGTGGTCGCTTTATTATGGAGACGCCTAACAGGTGCCTCCTATGAACGGACGGACAAATTACATCCATGTCTTCTCCGGGATTCGAGACCTTTGGTACGGCACTAAGAGTCACTAACCACTTTGCCATTTGGGAGGCCCACGAGAAATATAAATAGGAGAAAAAAGTGTATGGACGTTACAGACGTTAGAGGAAGAATTAAGAATCGGAGCAAAAATAACGGAACGCTAACTGTAACAACATTTTTTATTGATGTTACATTTCAGCAAATCTGTTAGAAAAGAAAAGAAAAAAAAAAGTTGTCACTACATTATTTTCTTATCAGTAGAATTTAAGAGATTCTGGTAGTGGAGTAATTTAGTGTAAACTAAACAACATTAGCGTTAAAAAGTATTAAATCTAATAAATAAATATACACAGATGGAGTTAAACATATCCCATAGCAGTGTTCAGGTAAAATATTCAGGACTGTTGCTAAAGCGTAAAGGGCGTTTTATTGGGCGTCTAGTCGACGAGATCGTTCGTCATTTGTTTTAGACTTTACTATAAAGTCTGTGTTTTGATTTGCGTCTTCAGCTGGGAGTCGGAAGTCTGGCTCCACTCTTTGATCGCTTGCGTTAAGCAACAATCAGGCTGGCTTCAGCTTATGGATCGAAATGCTTATTCCTTATTTTTGATTTATATTAGGAAGTATTTTTCGTTTCTTTTAATAAAATCAATCAAAAGCATGTATTAGCACCAATAAAAATATGATGACAGAATCTTAAGGAAAATGTAACAGCTAACAGCAATTTTTAATATCTTTCATTCATATAATTTCTGATACAGTTTTATTGGCGTATTATGTTAGACTTCTCTTCTTGATTCGCAAAAAAAGCGTCTTTTGTTTTCATTGCAAATATGGCAATAACAAACCATTCAAGCACACTATATTCCATCAGTTATCATTTACATCCATCATATGAATTGAAATTTACGTTATTATATAAGACTTTTTTCATGTAAAAATATCTGCAATATATAATAAAAAAACATGTTCTCATTACATGGATCATGTTTATGGAGATTCTTAATCTCTAGGATCGTATATTAATAGAAGAGTGGTGTAAACTTTCTTTCGCAAAGTCTTAAAAAACAAATATGCATTTTGGATAGAAGTACACAAAACTAATTTCCTACATAATTTAAATTATTGTAACAAATATCATATTTTAAAATAGTAGATATTCGAGAGATTGCATATAATAGAAAACTTTTCCATTATTATATTTGCTTTTAAGAAAGCTAAATTTGCTATAAAAACCATTTCTCATACTAAATCTATAGGGTCTGGCTTGCTATGGAAGCATAACCCTAATTTCAAACCCTATAGACGTTTAACGAATTATCGCTGTGTCTGAAATTAATTGCAAAGTATTGAAAAGGTTAAAACAACTACTATTTTTCCCCATAAGGGCTATTAATTTCGTTTTGGCATTTTGCTTCGTCCATTATAATACCTTTTCAAATTGTTGCTACCAAATATTACAGCCCTGCATAATATTTAACGAAATTAAGTAATGAAGAATCTGCATAAATGTATGTATCTTTCTCGCATTGCGAAGAAACAGCGGTACCTAGAGACATCAAATTTTGAATAACATAGTCCTCCATTCGAATATGGGCGTCTTCAAACCCAAATTTGGAATTTCTTTCATTATCTATTTCATATTTTGTAAAACTTTAATAAACTTTTGAGTAACAAACGGAACGGTTTCAAAGCGAGCAATGGCGACACTGTAAGAGAGAGAAAAAAAAAAAAAAAAAAAAAAAGCATTTTTTTCTCCAGCGCGCGAGATTGCGTATCGAAAATTCTAAAGATATGTTCTTTTTAAATATTTTGTGATATTGCTATTGAAATGAATTTTATGGTTTAAGTGCAGAGAACATGATATTTAATAAATAAAGGTAACACATAAAATGTTAACAAAACGCCCCTTTTGGGCGTAATATAAAATCCTAATTTTATATACTAACAGTATCAGCTACCACTAGTACTAACAATATCAGCTACCACTAGTACTAACAATATCAGCTACCACTTGTAGCGGTGCAACTAAAACAACAGTCAAATTCAAATTTAAAACGAAGACCAGCAGCCAAAGACTTCAGTTGAATTTAAATCTAAGCTGGTTCACTAAATTTAAACCTAACTATGTAACTGATATTCGAATAATCAGTTTGATAGGTAACTGGTTATGAAGAAATAAATGAGCCTAAATAGATTGTAATATCAATGAACATTTTTAATGACAGAGATTAACTTAAACATAGTTGCATACAGCAGAGAAAAAGGGCGAAGAAGTAAGAATGATATACATATAACATACATACGTAATAAACAGTTACGTCATCATTCATCATCGCGAGGATAAACGCGAACGGCGCATGCGTCAGGAGAAGCTCTCTTAAGCTAAACGTCGTATTATAATTTATGATACAACAGGTTAATTATCAAATATCAGCAGCGAACGGCAAATTTATCAGAGACGGCAAAACTAAAGTAACGTGGCCTCGAAAGGCTGAAACACGCTCTGTCTTATAATCTAAAAACCTCATTTTAAATTCTCTCTGAACTGATTTGCCTCCTGGTGAGGAAACGGAAAGGAGAAGTTTTAATAAAGGCTGCAATTATAAATAACTGGTTAGTTTCAGATAATAACGTTACAAACCAAAATGGCTGAAAATGATTATGTGCTGTCAGTTTTTGCGAAAATATGTACTATTAAATATTTTATCAGATTGCAAAAATCTGATAATCAATTTTCATGCTATTTTTGCTGAGGACTCAAAAGCCTTGTCTCCTCTAATAATGAAACTTTACGACAAGGAAAATATAGCAAATATTTTCTGAAATTTCATTCATGCGACGTGAGTTTAGAATTTTTTCTCAGAAGATGACTTCTTCTTTCAGAAAATTGAGCATTATTTCACCGACTCTCAATATAAGATGGTAGAAAACGCAGGAGAAATAAAAGATTTTCTGGATATCAGCGGAAAACTTTCTCTAAAAATTAAAGGCGGAATAGTAGACATCGGCGGGGAAGGAAATTATCTCAAAGATAGTTCTTCGAAGAGCAATGGAATCGAAATATTAGTTAAAGTGCATTTTGAAACGGTAAGTGAACCTTTGAATTAACCACGAATATTTGCCTGCTTTGAAATAGCTTCAGACTTCGTTATGAAGATGCTACCCATATTTTATGCATTGTAAATAATAATAATAATAGTAATAATAATAATAATAATAGTGATGATGTTGATGATGGTGATCAGGAGGAGGCTGATGATAATAACTATAACAAGAATAGCAATAAAAACAAAAATAATAACAACAGCAAGAAAAATAGTAATAATGCAACAACAATAACATTTACAATATTAATAATACAGATTGGACGTTTATTATATCGAGAGCAAATGTATTAACAACTGATAACAATACGATCTTCTGTTAGGTCACCTTGAAAGCGGAATGTAAATTCTCTCAATATAACTTTTTTTCCCCAAAATGTTTTAAGCGAATTTTAATTTCAAGAAAACTTATTATTATTATTTTTTTTTTTTGTAAAAAAACGGGGTTTAAATTCAGTCAGAGCCCTTTAAGCCGAACTAAAATATTTTAATAAAAATTTAAGTGAATTACTTCCAGGTGGAGACTCAAAATATTATTTTGGAAAAATATCAGTTTATTATTTAATTATTTATCATTTTAATTTACTTTTTTACATTCTATTTATCTTTTTATGTTTTTAGTTAAAATTATTATTTATTCAAAATTTTATTTTTGTTCACATTTTCCGAGGGCCTTCTTTAGGGCTCTGATACAATTAATTTAGAAATTAAGACCTGAATATCACAAAATCAAATCACACACCTTTTTCTTATTTCATGTCTAAATGGTTTTAAGCATAAAGTTGCACAAAATTTCTTTAGCAACTCTATTTCAAAAGGGACGTTTTGGTGGAATTTTTAAACACTGAATTAATACCTTTTTGAGAAATATTTCTCAGATTTTCCTCGAATTGTATTTCGGAATATAACATTTTGAAATTTAACTAATTTAGAAATTTATTTTTTATATATATTCAGGATATTTTCAGAGCTTACAAATTCCTCATAAAAATGCTCTGATTTAATACCTAATCCTAATCCTAATCTATAATTAGTACAGAATATTATTGATTATTTCTAACATAGATAAAAGAATTTTCTTCAATATATAAAGTCTTCATACAAATATTTTGAATGTACTTTTTCAATTTATAAAAAATTACTAGAATTACTTGAAATTTCATTTTTGTAGAAGACACTTATCTAATTTTACGTTGCACAAATATCACAAAATTTGCATTAAGTTGATATCGGCCTATTTAGATTTGTATGATTGAGAAAAGATTAAAGAAATAGGTTACATAGTGTAAAGAGAAAAACAGGAACTAAGAATCCAGAAGAGACTTTTTCCCCTGTAATTGTTCTATTTCACACCAACAGATAAAAAAGTTCATGAACAAATTTTAATGTTGTAGTGAAACTTTTATCTATTTGATTACTGCTTTATTTGAATGAATACATTTCCGTTATTTAGTCAGAGAAATATAAAGAGATAAAAAGAATCTGAATTGCATATATGTACAGAGATAGATATGTATTTTAAACATTTATATAACTCTTGCTAGGTTTCACATTAGTTTTTGATATTTAGAAACTCAATGAGGTCAGAAAAATATAAGCTTTAAGAAAGAACTTGATATTTTTTTAGATAAATAGTTTCATTCATTTTTTAACAATTTGACATTTTATCATAAATATAAAAATATTTTCATAGTAAATATTAAAATACACATTATTTTGAATCAAAGATTCTTTTTTTTTTCGCATAGAAAGGTCACTAGAAATAGAGTGAGTCTTAGATTTGAGAGTATTTAGAGTCACAGATATTTCCGAAATACTAATTATTTTGATGCAATTAATTTTTTCATATTGCTAATTTAATTATTGCTATTAATAAATCGAAGCTAATTATTAAAAAAATTGCAACATATATTTTATACTGTTCAATTTCATTCATTCATTTGATGCTCTTAGAAATAGAAACTTTTCTCTTATTGTGGATCTAAAGATGTGAGAGTCAATAAGCAATACAATTAGAATCGTATGCAGTAAAAGTTTGACTATTAAATCTCCTATTAAGTTAAAATGCTCAATAAATCAAACTGAATTCGTAATTAGTGTTATTTTTCTTCAATAGATGAACATTCAGTTACATAAACTTCTTATTTCTTTTATCTTCAATTATCAAAGTTCGAATCTTTCTTTTTCTGTTCATATATTTTTTAAATTTAATTAAAGTTAAATCATAGTTAAAAAATGTCAATGCGTTATTAATGCTGAAACTATAAACTAATGTACTATTCTACAGAACTATATATCTTGCCACTTTTATTTTAAACTGTATTTGCAATGCAGGTTACGCAGACTATACCTACTTCATTGAAGCCAAATGCCGGGTGGAGTTTAATGAACAAGAAATATTTAGGCACGCATTATTGCCGAAGCATCACTTATGGCGGGGATTTGGTGGCCTCGATACGCATCAGTAGTTCAAACAGTTACGACTTAGAGCGGATTAAAGGAGCTATTAATGGAGGAGTGAAAACTAAAGGAGGATCTTTTACATTAGATGTGAAAGGTTATTGCACACTTATATATATTTACATCTACATAATAATGTTCTTTAGAGAATAATAATATTTAACCCCTTTAGGCAAATAGTGATTGTGCCATTTCCTGTGTTTCGCTGAAAATCCGAAAAAGAAAAGTTTTCAAGGTTATCGATAGATGGCAGCACCACACAAAGAATTATCTTTTTAGATGGTGCTGAACGTATGTGCATTTAATGTATAAATAAAAAATGTATATAATTGCATCTTCGACGAATTAACCATTAATATTCCAAATAATTCAAAAAAATATTCGGAAAATTAAAAAATGTAAAATTTACAGGATTATTAAAAATAACAATCTTTTCTTGTCAAACAGATTTCAGTTTAATATCCAAGTAATTTAAGCATTTATGATATCTCTACATATCATAAAAGAAAGAGTCTGTCTGTGTGTGTGTTTTTCGTTCGCGCTGCGCGTAAGCTAATAGACCCACGGCTACGAAATTTGGTACATAGGTGGATCTAGACAAGAGCCAGTGCACCTCGAAGCGATTTTTTCGAAATTCGAATTCGATTTTTTTTTTAATTTATGTTTTGTGACGAAATCGCGTCATTTTGAGACATAATGGGCTATAGGAAAGCGAGATCTTACATGAAGCTTCCGAGTACACTTCTCACATCTCACATCTTTAAAAATGTGATTTTGGCAACAATTTTCCTGTCTTATTGTTGTTGATAAATTTTGGATGAAATCGCTCATTTGAAATAGTTTCATTCTTTTAGAAATATGGGTTTGGCAACAATTTATCATCGTATTCTTATGTCACTGTTTTTTAAGAGATTGCATATTTCATTGTCATTTATATATATATATAATCCATTTTTATTGATTTTTTTTTGAAAAGTTGTTCTTGAGAGTAAAATTCTGCGCGAAATTTTATGTTTTTTTGAGTTGCTTTCATGTTATTTTTTGCTTATTTCACTGTTTGTAAGATATTGAAAAGTTTTGCATAATTTTTTTCTTCAAAACGGAAAGTTGGTTAATTTTTTATTAGGATAATTAATATTGTATTAAGGGATATAGCTTATTTCAGTGTGAAAAATATAAGATAAAATATCATTAATTATACTTTGCTTTTCAGAATTTTTTGTATTCTTTTATGTTATTTATTTGTTCATTTCACTGTTTTAAGATATGAAAAGTTTTGAGTGATTTTTTTAGGAAACAAAGTTCTTAACCTCCTTTATACCATTTGAGTTCTTAAGATTTTGCAAAGGGAAGTTGGTTAATTTATTTATTAGGATAATTAATATTTGTATTAAGAAATATTGTTTATTTCATTGTAATTTTGTTATACGTAATAACTTTCTTTTTATGAAGTTGTTCTGCAGAGTAAAATTCTGCGCAGTTTTTAAATTTATCTGAGAATTTATTTCACTGAATAAGTTTCCATACGATTTGCAACAAATATCTCTATCAAGTCGTAATGATTCTGCTAATTTAAAACTATTTGCACCGAAACCTTTTTATTCTAACTGAAGTAACAGGCTCCAGCAGCAGACCAAATAAATAAACACCATTAATAATTTCTTCCTGGAGCAGTATTTTATAGAGGAATGAATTGACTAGATGAGTGCAGTATTTTACAGAGGAATGAGTTCACTAGATGAGTATTTTTCACAGTATTTTCGACTACAACATGAATATTTTCCATTAAACTATCTCTCCTAAAATCAATAATTATTGAAGATTCTGACATAATAAATGTCCTGCTTAACTGTCCGAAATAGGTTATAACGATCTAACTTGACCGAGGCAACAGCTCATCATTTCTGTATTTAATTTCTCTCTTTGTTCTATTATTTCGTGATTTAACACTATCTTAGATTCTTGTTTTAATATTCTTTTGTCATTACATTGTTCTACTAACGAACAAAAAGTTTCGTTTGTAAAGCATACCTTTTTTTTTTTTTTTTTCTTTTTTAAATTTCTGGTAGCCAATAGCGTACTGGAAATCGTGGGCCCTCATGCGAAATATTTTGTGGTCCCTCGCTCCGACCATTTTATTATGTTTTAAGGGCATAAAGTCTGGGAACGTATTGTGCCATTGAACATGAAAGTTGGCTGTCATCAAACTGTGAAAGTTGGCGGAGATTTCGCCAGAGTAGCGCCAGTCATTCATGCGAAATTCTAAGCCGCACTTCTGTTTGTAACTCTTCCTATAAAATATCGTCAGTCTCTGTACTCAATCCACAAGCTAGCTACTCTTGCGAAAGAATTCGACTTGCTTTACCTTTGCGCTTCGTAAAAAGGTTTTCGTCGGTTTCCATTATTTTGTTAGGACCCACGATTTTACTGAAACCTTTGTTTAGAATGCTTTGGGTAAAATCTTCCTGCAGGTGATAATTCCAATCCATTACTGTTTTGTCAGCCATATCCCTCTATTCCCCCCTTTCAGCAGATGTTAATTCTTTTGACCTGCTGTAAATGAGCTAGATTTCGGTTTCAAATAAGATTCCATAGTTCTCAAACTCATTTTTGCTTCCAGAATGCAAGCTAAAAATTGTGCAGTAGAAGTTAATTTATAGCCTTGTTCATAAAAACAAAAGGTAGCTTATCAAGAATCAATAGGGGGGACATCAAGCGAAAGTGTAGATGTTATGAGTATGTTATGCTGGTATGTTTATCCATAATTAGCTCTAAATCGCGCTGCTTGGCGACAGTTTCAACGGACGACGACGGGGTAATAAGTAAGTACCAAAATGTGAAAGTCGAAAAGGAATTCTAGGATCTTTCGAAGCAGCTTCTTGAAAAAAAACGATGGAAAAAATTATCATCAGCTCCTATTTTCTTTTTAGCTTAAATTTTAAACATATAACTGTACTCAGCAAATCATTTAAGGAGCCTATAGGTAATTGGAGACTTCTGCGATGCATATTTTGCTTACCCTCGTTTGCGCCATTGATTTAAGCAAACATTGTTTTCGATCCATCACTATAGAGTCTGAAATTAAAAAAGGAAACATATTTTACACTTTTTCATGCTTTAAAAATCGGATATTCATAAAATGTCATACTTTTCCTTTCTCTTTCTATCTCTTTTTTTCCCTGTTCTTCTTTTGCTTATCTAAGAAGCATTTTTAAGGGTTTTTTTTTTTATTTTTTTTTATTTTATCAGGCAATCCGCTCTAACATCACCAAACATACCACCCATGATACAATACTTGCAAGCACTTGACAATCCTAGAAAGCGCACGAAATGTTTCTATAAAGAGCAGATTTTTATTCAGTTATTTATTTCTTTTCTTTTTCTTGTAATTGTTCTTTTTCTGTTTGGGTTTTTGGGGAAGAGGGTTTAAGGAAGCATAGGGATTCATGTTAACTTTGGTCCCAAGAATGGCGTCCACCTGTAAACAGTAGAACGTATGTTGTGATCAGCAAAATTGCAGAATAAGTGACAACGTGGCATAGTTCCTAATCACTTTGCTTTCATACTTATTACAGTTCATATGAAGGCAGAGACAAGTTCCAGTGAATGACAGTCTAATTGATAACATTCTGAATACATCTGTCAACAATATGCGCAAGAACAAAACGAAACAAAAATAATTTTTTTCGTTAAGATGCGCTAATAGTTTGTTGTTCGTGATGCTTTGGCAGGTACCGAATAACAAGTATGGTCTGGATTTTTGTTTAATTGATTATGCCAAAGCACACGAAGGCTGTCTGCCGAAGGAAAGGCATAGTCTCTCTGAGGACTTTCAAAGTGAAAGTGGAACAGCCACTATGTATGCTTTTAAATGTAATTTATAGCAATTTTTTAAGCATTTTAATTAATTCATAAACGATAAAATAATTTCACGAAAGGACATACTTTAGGATTTATCCCAGCAGAGTGAACATAGTCTTGCATTAAATATTACAATATTTATAAATCTTTTTGCCTGTTTTTTTGTGAATAAAAGCTTGACCAGATTCTTAAGGCTAAAGTTCATTGACGGGAAAAAAGCCTGACTATTAACAGGAGAATAAAGTCAAAAATTATTAAGTTTATGGTAAAAGTTATAGAGTTATTTCATTGAGATCAAATATTTTACTGCCGATTCTGTGGTTGTGCCCATATCCAAGTGCAGATGTTATGAGTAGTTTGTCTTAGTGACATGTTTGTGAATAATCATGGAAGCAAAGAATGGGTCTAATGCGTCTGTCATTGGCGAACAAAAATTAAGTTATTAATAAATAATTGTAAAATTATTTCAATATTTAAAAAATGCAACGTCAACTGATCTAACTTTATTTTTAATACAACAGGCAAACTAGAAAAATTGAAAAATGACGCCCAAGACAGTAGTTCGATGGAAATAAATTATTACGCTTCCGTTCCAATTCATGGAGTATCTTACGATATCGATGGTTTAATGAAACTCATCGATGATTTCCCTAATCAAGTAAAGAAAGTGAATGGTGGCTTAGGCAATCCACTGAGGATGGAACTCTATCCATTAAGTTCGTTGCAAGAAGATCTTCCAGTGTATTATGAGAACAGGTACGAAACAGTTACTTTATTTTCAAATTTTTGCCTTTATTATCAATATAATATTACATTTAAAAAGAAATAGAGGAAAATAATTGTTTGGGAGGACGCATACTTCCCTAATTCAGGACAATATTTTATCACAATTCCAGGACAAAAAATGTTTCACAATTGGACTACAACATTATGGAAATTACCTTTTACAGGAAATCATGGGAGGAAAATGTTCGGTGACATTAAAAACTCATACTATTTTATCAACTGAGGAAATTGAAATTTTACAGATTTGTTTTGTACAATGATTCAGTGAATTAAGAAATAAATAAAATTTGTTCAGTTAGATTATTAATTGAATGCTATTAATAATATTATTAATTTTTTCAAAAGCCCATTCATTAATAATCAACTTCTAACCAGTAACTGCAAAACTAATTCTAGCAGCAAAGGATATGCATAAAAATGTTTTAATGTACATAATTTTAATAAACGTGCTGAGAAGTAAAAAATAATTTCTTAGCTATCATAATATTCTCAGTAATTTGTGATAAAAATATCTGATGTGTACACAACATGACTTCCTTGTACGGAATATTAAATTATACGCATTTTTCTTACATTTCATTTACATTTATTGGATTGAATTAAATCTACTTCGCCGACAGCGCATAGACCACAATAGAATAAATGCATTCTTTAAAATTCACTCTATTTGTTTGCCATAGCAACACTCTGGAGCTAGGTTCACTTAACAGTATTATATTTCGTTCATATTATAACTCAGAATGCACAAAATTGATATCATTTAAGAATTATCTAATCGTTGCCACATGTTCTATTCAAATACTCTAATAAACTAGAATGATGTATAAAAGAAATTAAGAAACAAAACAAAAAAGAACAGTTTTTTCACAGACGATTTAGTATTTCTCATTCATTAATTCAGTTCTCACTTCGCGACAAGGCAAAAATACGTAAAACTCAAATATCTGTATTAAAATTACGAAGTAAATCTTAAAACTTATTTCCTCGAAAAATTCCAGAAAGGATTAAGCACGATTTAATTGCAATAATAAATGAGGCATTATCTTTGTTGTTGCGAAGGTACGTTTCTCTAGATTGGTAACAAATCCCTATTCTTCTGTTCAAATGTAAACAAAGCAATAGCCGCCATCAAAAAAAATTTTAGGCTTAGCGCACTAAACAACTTAAAATTGTTGATTATTCTAAAATATTGCTACCGATTTACTAAAGGCATAATAACATTAACCGGAAGATAAAAATGACAATTCAATCATTTTTAAAGCAAAAAATATACAATTTACAAACATATAGAGTAAAGAATGAGATAACTGAGCCGGGTAGCAGAGTGGATTATATATAAATATATTTATATATGCTTGGTGCGGCCCGTTGCAACCAAAATACGAGGTGCACATCTACTACATGTTATAGCAGTCCTTATACAAAATTTCAACGTTCTGAGGCTACTCGTTTTTGAGTTATGCGAGATACGTACGTACGTACATGCGTTCGTACAGACGCACGAAAAATTCTCTTCAGAATTCAGTAATTTTTTTGGAGAAAAAGATTCTTTTATTCTGTTCTTACGTACAGATATCACGCAAAAACATCGTTAAATTGCATTCGATAGCGGTCAAAATGGATATTTTCGTTGAAATATGCTGCCTGAAACTTTTCGCGATTACAATACTTCCTTTTTACTTCGTACAAGGAAGTAAAAAGGAATCGCAATATTGCTAATAATAGTGAATTCTAAATCAAAGCTTTAAGAGAGAAATTTAATTCAAATCAATGCAATTGTATTTACATGTTTTATAATTTCCACATAATTATTTCCATTGCTCCTCGAAATTCTGTAGATATTCTTATTCATTTTGTTTGTAGGACACCCATGATTCTATTTTTAGTTACATATCATCAAGAATATCATGAAAACTAAAAAATACGGTTTTAAACACGTAATTTAAAAAGATTTTTTATATATTTTATTTTTTACTTTTTATTCAGTAGAATGTAGAAATATAACAACGAAAGGAAATTACCGACTCTGAACGTATGGTGTCAACGTTATATTAGTGACGCCATCTTCTGTTTAAAAGTGAATTTACATTTTGACAATGCAGTAAATTTACAATCAAATGATTTAAATTTTTATTCCAATTAAACATCCTATCTTTCCACTAGTTAAAATGAAAAAACAAATTAGTGGAGAATTAAATATTGTGATCTAAAAATCTATCAGTAAATGCACAACAATTAAAGAACTCCAATAATTTTTAAAAAATCGCCCAAATTCAATAAATAATTTAAGAAATTTACAATAATCTTCATTTGGTTTGGTCTATCCGATTACGTAAAGATCGAAATTTTTGACGAATTTTAATAATAAAAAATATTCAGTCCTGTATATTAGATATGCTTTATATTCTTTTTACGTGTTTAATAGGTAATCTGGAAATTTTTGTACTAATTATTATGTGACACTAATTTTGAAGTATTATAAAGAATGCCAGATAATTGAATTAAAAAATTGACTGTAGGACTAAATAATTTTGCTGATCATAAGATTTTTCTTAATAGATATTTTAATAACGTACCGCATTTCGGAAGTTAATAATAAAGGGCAATACAACTTCTTTAAGGTAACATCTAATGGTGTAGAAAAAAATTCGAATAATAGAAGATTTGAATTAATGGCAGTTTTTAGCAAATTACGCCCGAAAATATAGTCTACAAATGTCCTGTGTAAATATAGTTAATGAAGCAACAGAGAAATTACGTTGTTACGGATTTTGTAGTAGTAATTAAATTTGTTTAATTTTCTCTGCAATGCAGCGCGTGACGGAATTTAAGAGAAAGCTACGTCGGAAAAGTAAAAATACAAGAGCACGTGCATTTAACATTTACAAATAAAAGTTTACCTCCGTTATTGATATTTAATTTGAATAAATGTAAATGCTACAATGTTAACTGTGACCGTAATTCCACGCGTTTTGCTTTCCAGAAATTGCTAGAACTCTTTCGTGCGGCCGATTTAAAAAGCTACAAAAGTTAAAGAGAGAACATCTCAGCTCAGTTGTTCTAGTGAGTTTTTGTTTAATTAGGTGCTGTAATTTTGAGAACCGATTAGCTTTCTCTGCGCTTTGGATTGCGTTCAATTTAACGTTTTAGTATTTTTAAATATAACTACTGTTTATATTGCTTGATATTGAGATATCATACGAATATCTTTGAGCAATAATCCAGGGTTTTGTTATACTTCTTAGGATTAGGATAAATTTTATTAATTTTTATCGGACTTGTGTATTTAATCTATTATGAACCCGTGCGCACATAACAATATTAATAATGAAAGTTGTTTAGATACATAGATAAAGAATAAAGCAAAATTAAAGTTAAGAAACTCCATCCTTTAATGCATATTTATCCCCAAAATGCTGCTGAGAATTAGACAAAGAATATTTTCTGAAAAGTGTAAAAAATATCGTAAAGTATTTTCTTTGCATTTCGTTATTTGTTTGTAATTTGTAAATGTCATGTAAAATTGTTTGAAGAAACATTGTATAAAAACAATAAACATATGATCTTTTGATTTAGAGAATATATATTTAATTTTAAAAACCTGAAATAAAATATGAAATGTTTATTTCATTTCAAATACAAATAGGACTACAATTTCTTGAATAATTCATAATTTTTTTTTAAATTACTTTTGAGATGTTCTTTAAGTTTAGATGCTTCAAATTACGTTTATTTCACAAAAGTGAAAGTACATTTTCACTTAAGTGTTATTAAATAAATCAGATAATTAAGACTTAAAATTACTTTGCATTTATAATTTTACAAATTATGTTTGTGGCATGAGCATCATTATTGGGGACAATACCTGACGTCCATTTTTGGAGAACAAATGTGATGAAAATAGTAAACGGTCATTCGAAAAAGTTATTCAAATTCAAGATATTCTTACACAAAAAAACCGGCAAACATATATGTTTCGAATCATGAATCAAAGTCTGCATATAGTTGCCATGGAGTTGAAGTAAATATATAGTAAATATTTAGCCGCCTTGAACTAAAAGGAATGAGCTTTGTAGGCAAACTTTATTAACTTTCTAAAAACATAAATTGTTCTAAAAAAATGAAATACTGTTTAACAGAAAAATGCACTGCAATGCAGTGCGGTTAAGAAAACTATTCCACGCCAAAAAAGAATAAAGGTAAATTAAAATATATAATATTGTTGCCATTCACACAAATTCAAAACTAAAACAAAACATATTGCCAGTAACAAAAGTATAGTTTTAAGCCTCGAGGGCTATCTGCCTAAGGGGAGGGATGCCTTCGCGGAGGACTTTCTAAGGGAAACTGGCTCGTATACACGTTACACATGGGGAAAACCACGAAAGCTCCCATGCAGCCAGCCCGTTCGCAGGATTCGAACCTCGGACCGAACTACCAGTGTTCAGCGACTTTACCGCTCGGCCGCTGGTGGGCCTATCGTGTTATTGATAATATAGAATTAAATACTGAGAAAATAAATAAGGCAAAAAAAAAAGAAAAAATGCAAATGTTAAATACATATCCAAACACTATTGTTTTTTTTTTTTTTTTCAAATAAACAAATTTAAGGACTTTAAACTCCCATAATATCAGCCAATAAAATTTTATTTGCCCTTTTCGTTAGCTCTTTGTATTTTTAATTTTCGTATTTCTAGAAAAGACCGAAAATAATTAAGAAGAAGGGCTAACTAGTTAATAAAATGAGAAATGTTGACTAGCTAATAAAATGAGAATATCTTGTAATTTTAAAAACACGCTGATAAACAGAATATGCATATATTTTCAAAAGAATAAACTTCAGAATAAAAATAACTGATAAAAAATCACACCCATATTTTAATATACAGTAAGACCCCGCTTAACGCTGTTTCGTTTAGCGCTGTTTCGGTTTAGCTCTCTTTTATTTCAACCCGGGATTCCACGAAATAGCTCGCAGCATACGGGGATTCCCCGAAATATTATGCAGCGATAGGTTTCAAATACATATCCGAAAGAGTGTACTTGTATTTCTTGTTTGGTGCGGTATTGTACAGACATATTTTGAAGGGGTAAATGTGGAAGATGTCGAAGAAATAATTCAAGAAGCAGCGGCTAGTCTTTCTAATGATGAGCTCAAGGAATTAACCGAACAAGAAGAAAACAGAAATGTTGACAGCAGTGATTTAGAAGAAGAGCAAAAAGAACTTTCGATGGCGTTTGTAAAAAGGAGTTTGTCTACGATAACTGAAATAATGGATCAATTCATTGAAAATGATCCGAATTTTGACAGGAGCTCAAAAGTAAGGCGTGGTGTTAGAGATGCTTTATCCGTTTATGAAGAACTTTTAAGAGAACAACGCAAAAGAAAAAGGCAAACAACATTAGATGCTTTTGTCAAAAAAAGGCAGAACACTGAAAACGCGGAAGGCTAACTAAATATGACTGAGAATTTTATTTTTTTTTTTTAAGAATATTCGTTTTGTTATTTATATTTTGTTTTTATTTTTGCAAGAAATAATAATGTGGTATTAATTTGGGCTTTAAAAAATAAATGTTTGGTTTTATTTTTATTAAAAAAACATACTTTTTAAATTTAATACCTAACCAATTTCCTAGCCATCTTCCCCCAACCCCAATATTTACATGTAAAGATAGCCTTGTTTAGTGCTGTTTCGCATTACGCTCTACTTTGATGGAACGTATCCCCCGCGTTAAGCGGGGTCTTACTGTAATTTACTTTCTGTATGATAGAGCTTTGGCAGACGAATTAGAGGATTTAGAAGAACAGTTTGATGATCTGAGAGAAACTAAGCAAAATTTGGGAGTCTGGATGTCGGATTTGCCACCAGTAATTCCTACTAATATACAAAAAAAGGTAAGATAAACATTTCAATTTGATATCTAGTTATTCATAAATTATGCCTTCATGTGGGAAGTTAAATCTACTATAAATAGACAAAAACGAAAAAAAAGTTTATAATAAATGCTTAACTTATTTGATATGATATCTTCAGATTCATTAATTTATAATCAAGTTTTGAGTGAATTTTTCTAATTTGAGTACAGTTTTTTTTATTAAAATAACTGTTTATATTATGTTATATACAGTAACAATATTTTTTGTATTCGTTGAGAACTCTCCAGTTACAATAATAGCTTTAAAAATAATCACCTATCCATGCATTCGAAGGTAGCTGTTTAAACTTCACACAGACGTAGATAACAGCAAAAAAATAATTTACTTTTAATTACTTAAATATTACACAGACATAAATAATAACAAAAATTATTAATATCAGAATAAAAATAATTTATGACAGTGTTTTCTGGGTTACAGCCGAGAACATCGCGGACGAAAACAACGCAAGGCGAAAACGTCGTGCTGCAAAACATCGTGGGAGAAAACATCGCAGTTCTAAAACATCGTGGTACAAAATATCGTCGTCCAAAATAAAGCGGTTCAAAAACTTCGCAATTTAAAAACATCGTCGTCGAAAATATCGTGGTAAAAAATGAAGTATCTACAATCATCGCATGGCGATAACATCGCAGACATGTTTTTTTCAGGCTTTAGTAACTGTAAATGAATATTCCCATAATGATTTGTGAGCGCAAGATAGAAAGAAGGATAATTCTTACTTTCCTATTTTTTTATTAACTAATAAATTTTTGCTGAAAAAATGAGAAGGAAACTTAAGAATATAAAATTAAATGAAACTTATAGATTATACTTTTCATGAAAAATTACTAGTAAAAACTTTATAAAAATGATTTATTAATGGCCTTTGTTAGTTAACTATGTCAGTTTAAAATTCTATTAAGTGCTATAAGTTGCAATAATTTTCTATGCTTAAGTTTCCTTCTTATTTTCTCAGCAAAAATTTATTAGTTAATAAAAAAATGGGAAAGTAAAAATTATCCTTCTTTCCTTCTTGCGCTCACAAATCATTATGGGAATATCCATTTACATTTACTAAAGCCAGAAAAAAGCATGTCTGCGATGCTATCGTCATGCGATGATTTGCAGATACTTTATTTTTTACCACGATATTTTCGACGACGATGTTTTTAAATTGCGAAGTTTTTGAACCGCTTTATTTTCGACGACGACGTTTTGTACCACGATGTTTTAGAACTACGATGTTTTCTCTTCGCGATGTTTTCTTCCCCGATGTTTTGTAGCGCGACGTTTACGCCTTGCTTTGTTTTCTCCGCGACGTTTTCGTTCGCGATGTTTTTGCCGCGATGTTTTCGGCGGACACCGTTTTCTGCTATAGAGTTTACACCGTTTTCTGCTATAGAGTTTACAATATATAATGTAATATGAAATGTAAGATAAAGGTGGACGTGGTGCTGTACTGATTAACCCAAATGGTAAAGGGACAGTGCCACGTCCTCCGTCGCTTATCGCTTATCGCTATAGAGTTTACAAGGGCTTGTCACCATGAATGGCGTAGGCTTGGGCTGATCATTTTCAGAAAAGTGACACTGATAACAAAAACATAAACAAAACAAATGCCGTGGACAGAAAAATTAAAATTTATTAGTCTTTGTTTTTGTTTACGGTACTTTCCTTTAATTTAGTTTCAACTCTAGAAGCATGGTGTTGTATCGTTAAAAGCGCTTCTGCTGTAATAAAAGCTGCTTCAATCAGTGTTGTTCCTTTACAATTAGATGACATTTATTGCAGTACTCTTGTGCTTGAATGATGAAGAAATTTTACGCGTTACCTCCGATATAATTATTTGGTGACTCGGAACATATTTCATTTGATTATTAACGAATACCGCAAAAGCTCTTTAATAGTAAAACTTTAAAATAAAACATCTGTACACACAGACGATACGTATTTTTTAAAAGCAAAACACATAAAAAATGAGCAATGCCTTCGTCGGGAGCTCGAACCACGGACCTCTCGAATACACGCCGAGCTTGCTGACCATTACACCACGAAGGCATGCTAAGAAGGCGGGAGAAATATCTTATACATCTTGCTACCTGAATCTAGCGATGGAAATTTTGCTGATGCGATTAGAGGGTAAATATTTAACTATCCATTTTTCCAGCATTTAAAAGTGTTCCACAAAAAACATGAATTTTACTTTCATTCCGTTTTATATTTTCTTACCAAACACAAAATTTTGTAAAAGTATTGCTTTAGTCAAATTCTATTATTAAAAACAACAACAATAAAAATTTTTTTTTGAAAGTACAACGGTTAAAGAAAGCATGAGGCAGGAAATTTTATTAGTTAAAAATATATATATGCAGTGAAAAAATGCACTTCTGTGAGCAAATTGTAGGACCAGCTGTTACAGAAAATGTGGGAGATCATAAAGTGCAGGAAAATAAAAACCGGATTTCAATTTTCAATGTTTGTAAAACTGGAAAAAAAAACTTATTATTATTAATACTATTATTTACAAATCCAAGTAACTATTAATACTGCATGTTTGAATTTTGCACACAAAAGCAAATTCAAAGTAATAGTTTCTCATTTACTTTCAGATGGAAACTTTCATTGAAAAGATCAATAAAATCTTCGCTGTTTACTTGAAAACTATTGCCAATCTCGATATTGCTGAGGGGGCATCAACTCAACCAATCCAGGATGCTTTTAATAGTTATAAGGATGGCGAATACATCATGCCTCAAAAATATATCAGAAAATTTAGACTGTTGCAGAAAGAAATAGTAAGTAAAAAATGTAGTAAATTTTTAGACGTAATAATTATCATCTTAAAAATAATCATAAATACCATTAAGCGAAATTCGAAATTGTGAACCAATTGAGCTTTTATTAGCCCAAAGGGGCAATTTGCACAGAAGGGCTATTAATTTCATTTTGGCATATTGTGTTGATTCCCTATCGACGTCGAATCACTTTTTAAATTGTTGCCGCCAAATAATAGAACCCTGTACTATACTTAACAAATTAAATAATGAGGAATCTGCATAAATGTATGTATGATTCTCGCATTGTGATAAAACAACGGTACCTAGAGCCATCAAGTTTTTCATACCGTTCGTCTCCCTCCGCATACGGGTATCTGGAAGCCCGAATTTGGAAATAGGATTTTGTTTTATTATTAGTCCAAAGGAGCTTTGCCGCTGAAAGACTATTGTTTTCGTTTTGCGATTTTGCGTTGGATCACTATAAATGTCCGTTTCACTCTTCAAACTGTTGCCACCAAATTTTAGAATCTTGCATTATATTTGAAGAAATTAAATGATGAAAAATCTGCATAAATATAGGTATATTTCTCGCATTGTGATAAAACAACGGTACATAGAGCCATCGAATTTTGAATGACGTAATCCTCCTACGAATATGGAAATGTGAAAGACCAAATTTGAAATTTGGAATTTTTTTTTATTATCGATTTCCTTTTTTGTAAAACTTTAACGAATTTTTGATTAACAAACTCAAGGATTTCAAAGCGAGCAATGGCAACACTCTACGGGAAAAAAATCGTTTTATCTGCACGCGCGGAACTGTGTATCGGAAATTCTAAAGATAGGATAATTTTAAAATTATTTTGCGACATTGCTATTGAACTGAATTTTATGGTTTAAGTGCAAAGAACATGATATTTAATAAATAAAGGTAACACACAAAACGTTAAAAAAACGCCCCTTTTGCGTAATATAATATCTATGAAAGCTTTCAGATTTTATATTTTATTTTCGTTTCGGAAGGCGATTTTTGTGAAACGTTTGTTTGGAATTTTAACTTATGAAGATATACTGCTTTAGGTTGTAAAAAAGATTCAAAATTTTTGGTCAACTCTTTTGGTTTTTCGGCACGTTTATTCCCAAAGTTATACACAAAAATACTCAGTAACTGAAAACACCAGAAAATACCAAAATGTGTAATTTATCTATTTAATATTTTGTAAAGAATTTATGAGTTTTTGATTAAGAAATTCAATGATTTCAAAACGAACAGTGGCAACACTGTAAAAAAAAAAAAAAAAAAAAAAAAAAAAAAAAAAAAAAAATTTCAGCGCCGAGATTGTGTATTGGAAACTCTACCTCTATGCTCATTTTAAATTATTTTGCGATACTGCTGTTGAATTGAATTTTATGGTTTAACTGCGAAGAACAGAACACGGTATTTAATATATAAAGATAACACACAAAGCGTTAAAAAAGTACCTTTGGGCGTAATATAAAATCTGAAAGCTTTCATATTTAAAAAAAATTATTTTAAGGTACTAATTATTTTAAAATTCACAATTTTAATAATTTTCAGTCAAAAGAGCTTCATAATGAAATTGAATTTAACGTAGTTAAACATTACTTTTTGTTGTTTGACTTCTGAATTAGTATTACTTTCTTCTTAACTCCGATCTAATTATTTTTAATATTAAAATAAAAATGAAAATTATATACTGAAAAATATTTTAAGGAGTGTTGGAACCCCAAAATCTTCAAAAAAATCGTGATTTCGGATTTTTGCACTTTCAAATTTTCTGCACTTTATAAAAATACCATATATAAAACTTTATATATTATTTTTATAATATAAAACTTTATAAAAATACCATTCTTTAATCTCTATGAAAATTAGAACTGTAAAAAATCTAGTTTTAATTTGTCATCGACTGCTTTGATCAATGGGTATTTTTACATAAAAACGCGTTTTTCTCCAAACGTGATTTTTTTATACTCGATGTACCTTTTCTCAGGAACTACTGCTCTCAGGTATCTAAAATTTTTATGGTTTATTTACTAATTTTCCTAATATTTACTGAAATGAGCTTTTTGTGATAAACTTAGAAAAAAAAATTTTACATTTTTTTTTTTTTTTTTTTTTTTTTTGTGTGAGAAAAGTGCTAAATTTTACTATACCTAACGAAATATTCTGTAAATTACTCTAAAATTCAAAATGTTTCAAAAGCTCATTTCAGTATAATCAAATAGGTATACTTTAATTATAGAAAAAATTTCAAGCTTGTATCTACAGCAAATTTTGAGAAAAGGGACATAGAAAATGGCCAATTTAACATTGTCGGTATAGGGGTTTCTGATACCCCTTAAGACTTAAAATGACAAATAAAAATTCGAATTTTTCATGTTAATTTCATTTTTTTTATTAAATGCTATTATTTTTATTAAGAAATGAATGAGAAGGCACAGTACAACATTTTTACCTAAAAAAGTGTTCTATAACAATAACCAAGCTTATAAACTATACTTTAATGAGATACATTCCGCTGACCTCATAGATCACGTGACTTATGTACAGCTAATGCAAACAAGCAAGGTCATTCTTCCTCTTCTTCTCTTGCGGAATGTATCTCATTAAATAACTGTACTCTGCATTTTTATTTCTTTTTAAGAATGAGTTTCAAGAGTATTCACTTCTACTAATATTGGAGAATACGAAATAACAAAAATACTGAAACAAATTTTGTCTCTCTTGAAAGATGATTTAGATTTTCTGGTATAGAAAAATGGCAGTTTCCAAGTACACTACTCTCTAAACGTTTTAGCTTCTCACGTAGTTATGATTCACCTCTACCATCATGCACAAGCTGCTTTCAAAGAAAGAAGAAAGGATATTCCTAGAAAGGAAATATCTGATATGAACACCATATTACTTTCTTGTACGGGCTATTAAATTATATACATTTTTTGCTGTACTTCATTTAAACTTATTTCCTCGAATTTCACTAGCGATATATTTCTCATTCAATTGATTTAGTTTTCACTTCGCGGAAAGCCAAAAATACATAAAAACTCAAAACATCTTCACTTAAAAATTGTAAAAATTATTTTCATTTTCTTGTATTTTTAACTTCATTAAAAATGGAAAAACGTAATACAGCAAATAGAGCTAAAGACAGTTAAAAAATTTTGCAATTAAAATTAGAGTTTCTGTTCAGAAACAAGCAATTCAGCCAGCAGCCAGGAAGGCATATTTTACAGTGCATGAAACTGAAAGTTTACTTCTGGTCCCACTGGGCAAAAAAAAAACACTGAAGCTGGTGCACAAACCGACTTCTACTAAGGGTTTCAAATGTAAACAAATGGCGGTCTCGTTAGGCTTAGTAGCACTTAAACAGCTTTTAAATTGTTGTTAATTATACAACTATTGCATGCAGATTAACTAAAGGTATAAAAAACTTAACCGGAACATAAGAACAATATAATTCAATAATTTTTAAAGCAGACAATGCATAATGTACCAATATATAAGAATAAAAATAATTTAGCTTGTCGAGTCGTATTTACACGACGTCGAGTCGTCGAGTCATATCTTACACGTCGAGTCGTGTAAGATATGTTTGGTGCGGTCGATGGCAACTAAAAGGCGAGGTGCATAATTACACGTTACGATAATCCCACATACAAAATCTCAACGTTGTACGTTTACTCGATTTTGAGTTATGCAAGGTACATACATAAGTACGTACGGACAGACGTCAGGAAAAAATGTCTTTTCAATCCATTTTAAATTTATTTTACAATCCGTTCTGGGAAACAGAATCCTTTATTCTGACCGTATGTGAAGATGTCACACAAACGCATCGTTGTACGTTTACTCGATTTTGAGTAATGCAAGGTACATACATAAGTACGTACGGACAGACGTCAGGAAAAAATGTCTTTTCAATCCATTTTAAATTTATTTTACAATCCGTTCTGGGAAACAGAATCCTTTATTCTGACCGTATGTGAAGATGTCACACAAACGCATCGTTGTATGTTTACTCGATTTTGAGTAATGCAAGGTACATACATAAGTACGTACGGACAGACGTCAGAAAACAAATGTCTTTTCAATCCATTTTAAATTTATTTTGCAATCCGTTCTGGGAAACAGAATCCTTTATTCTGACCATATGTGAAGATGACACACAAGCACATCGTTGTACGTTTACTCGATTTTGAGTAATGCAAGGTACATACATAAGTACGTACGGACAGACGTCAGAAAACAAATGTCTTTTCAATCCATTTTAAATTTATTTTGCAATCCGTTCTGGGAAACAGAATCCTTTATTCTGACCGTATGTGAAGATATCACACAAGCACATCGTTCAAATGGTTTCGAAAGCCGTCAAAATGGATTTTTTTCTTTGCAATATGATACCCGAAATTTGTCGCGGTTGCAATATTTTCTTTACTTAGTACAAGGACGTTATTATATAATAACGCAGTAATAATAATACACATATCAAATCATTCACAACTAATTGGTAATTATTAATAAGTACGCAGTTACGTTTAAAAATGTATAATAACACAGTGAGCAAAATATTACTTCAAAATCTTTCGCATTCGCCCAAACGAAAAAAGAAATATACTCTGCCGAAACACACTTTAAGAACCGTTGTTATAATATTACACATAATCGAAAAGAACTTAAAGAAAAAGTGGATATACGTATACAAATATACATACACAGCCTTAGGCTGGACATGTGATTGCACGACGAAATGTCTCTTGAACATCTGGCCTTAGGCCCATGGCTTTAATCCATTTGATGAAGGATAATACTATAGGCTTGCAAACTGCGGCAAGTTTGGTAATGTAAACACGTATGTTTCAAGTGCCAAGTTTAGTAAAAATACTCGGCACTTGAAGTTTTATACGAGTTCAAAGAAAATTTTTATTAGTAAGCTTGTAGAGACATTAGGTATTTTTTTTAAAGCCAGAGAGATGAAAAATTAACAACCGCCTTCGCCGGGAATCGAACCACGGACCTCTGGAATACCGGCCCAGCGTGCTACCGTTACACCACGAAGGCACGCTAGGGAAGTGGGAGAAATACCTTATATACTCGCCTTTTTAAAGGCCGACTAGGGTTTTAGGGGAAACAGTCGCCAAATCCTGGGTATGGGGAATCATCATCCACAAACCTTTTAGTTCGGGCGCCACTGTAGAGACATTACGTATTTTTTTTTGAAAGACAGAGAGATGAAAAATCAAGAACCGCCTTCGCCGGGAATCGAACCACGGACCTCTGGAATATCGACCCAGCGTGCTACCGTTACACCACGAAGGCACGCTAGGGAAGTGGGAGAAATACCTTATAAGCTGTTATTTTCGTATTAAAAATCTCTTGATAGAAAAACAAAATGATTGTATAATAGGCAGAAATGGTCCTAAAAAGTAATTGTGAAATTATATGATAGAAATCATTTTCACCAAATCAAAAGAACCAGAAAATATTGAGTTTTTGATAAATATATGAATTTAATTTCGTAGGTATAAATTTTTTGTTATTCCGCCGTCGTTGTCTCTATCATTGATCCACACATCTAGCTGGACATGTCTCTATCATTGATGAATTCTACCGTTCATCTGTAAAATTTGTGTCTGTCTCTATTTTCTGTGAATGTACTCGAGCGTTTGAATGATATCAGTATTTTCTAAGAAAATTAGAAATACCTAATATAATTTCTAAGAAAAATAATTTCTAAGAAAATTAGAATAATAATAAAAAAAAGGTAATTTTTCTTTTGAACCTAAAATAGCGGTCTCGACAAGTTCGTAGTTAACTGTACTACTATTTTGTGAGCCTAAGTAAAAAATATTTTGGAATGAGTCAGGAATGAGTTAATGAGTTTAATAAGCTTACAAAAGTGTCAAATTGGGATCGCATAAACACCCATTTACCGAGAAAACTCTGCCAAATAAAGCGTAGACTTCTAATGGCCTGACAAAATAAATAGTGAAAGCTTGGCTTTTGATTTTGTACCGGAAAAAAAACAGGGTAAATTCAATCCTATATGAAACCGATTCTGTTATGGGTTTTACTTCGTTACCTACTTTTTTAAGAGAAATATTTAAGTGTTTATAACTGCTTTGTTATAGAAAGAAGCTGAGCGTGTGAAATAGTTTTATTTTCCCCTATAAAGTCTATTCTTTAGAATAAAATTTTACTAGGGAAACTTAAATCGATTTCGTTAAGAAAAAAATCTGATGTGTACACCACAGGACTTCCTTGTATTGGAATATTAAATTGGAATATTAAATTATACGCATTTTTTCTTGCATTTCATTAAAACTTATTGGATTGAATTAAATCTACTTCGCCGACAGCGCATAAACCACAATGGAATAAATAAATTCTTTAAAATTCACTCTAGTATTTATTTACCATAGCGACACTCTGGCGCTAGATTCACTTAACACTATTAATAATTATATAACAGTTAACTTATATAATAATTATATAACGGAAACTAAGTTAACTGTTATATAATCCAATAATTATATAACAGTTAACTTATATATTTCGTTCATATTATAACTCATAATGCACAAAATTTATATTCATTTAAAGAATTGAATTATCTAATCGTTGCCACATGTTCTATTCAAATACTATAATAAAGAGCTTAGAATGATGATATAAAAGATAAAAGAAATTAAACAAAGAAAACAAAAAAGAAACAGTTTTTCACAGACGACTGAGTATTTCTCATTTAATTAATTCATTTCTCACTTCGCGAGAAGGCAAAAATACATAAAAACTCAAAATATCTGTATTAAAAATTACGAAGTAAATCTTATTTCCTCGAAAAAATTCCAGAAAGTATTAAGCATGATTTAATTGGCAATAATAAATGAAGGCGTTATCTTTGTTGTTGCGAAGCTAAGTTTCTCTAGATTGGCAACAAATCCACTAGTTTCCTGTTTCAAATGTAAACATCAATGGCCGCCATTAAGAAAGGCTTAGCGGCAATTAAACAACTTTAAAATTGCTGATAATTCTAAAAATATTGCACACAGATTTACTAAAGGCATAAAATCCTTAACCGGAAGATAAAAACAACATAATTTAATCATTTTTAAAGCAAAAAATGTACAATTTACAAACATATAAGAGTAAAGAAACTGAGATCACTGAGCCGGGTAACAGAGTGGATATATATATAAATATATTTATATACGTTTGGCGCGGCCGATTGAAACCAAAATACGAGGTGCACATCTACATGTTATAGTAGTCTTATATACAAAATTTCAACGTTCTGAGGCTACTCGTTTTTGAGTTATGCGAGATACGTACGTACGCACGCACGTACGTACAGACGCCACGAAAAATTCTCTTCAGAATTCAGTAATTTTTTTGGAGAAAAAGATTCTTTTATTCTGTTCTTACGTACAGATATCACGCAAAAACATCGTTAAATTGCATTCGATAGCGGTCAAAATGGATATTTTCGTTGAAATATGCTGCCTGAAACTTTTCGCGATTACAATACTTCCTTTTTACTTCGTACAAGGAAGTAAAAATATTATGTTCAAATAATTTGGTTACTTTTGTAAACTTAATTTTTTTTTGTAAACTTAATTTTATAAATTAAACTCTTAAATTTCATTTTAATTTAACTTTCTAGCCCGTTATTTTAAATTAATTAATTTTTTTTATCAAGCCTCGTTTCATTTCCCTGCTAGAATGTAAATTTTCATTGCGCGCAATATTCAAATTAGGTAGAAAGACGGTAGTGCTTAAAGAAAGGTTTTAGAGGAGGAAATCTGAGCATGTTCTGTCTGCTTGAAGGCCCCGTTGCTAACTTTGATCCTTTAGAATTCTTCGGCATTGAATAATTCTTACCATTAGACTCGTTTATGCCGACTTCTGTCAGAGCCAGCTTGTGCGCTATTTAAACTATGAAGCTGTTAGGCTATACTTAAAACTCCATTAATTTTAAGTTTATCCATTATATTTGATTTAAGTCAAAAGTGTTGGCTTCTATAAGCGCGAGTTGGCTGCCATATGTTTAAACTTTAATTGGATTAATAAAAAGGTTCTTTATACACTTTCTCTGTTTCTGTGACTTTTATGACAGAGTGAAAAGTAACTAGCTGTGTTTTAGAGGTGCGGTCTAATTGCCCCGGAAGAATTCCAGATCCTGAAAACTAATAACTGGAAAGTTTACAGCAGGATCATACGTTTAGGGAAGAATTATGTAATTTTACAGAAGAAAATTTTCAAAAGGATTATGTAATTTTACGGAAGAAAATTTATAGAAGGATGAAGTAACTTTTTAAATGTTAACATGGTTTTCTATTTGTTCAATAAGGAAACATAATTTCTTTTCTATTTTTTCCTTCAAATATTTGTTGCATTGTTAAATAAGCAGAACAATGTTAAATCTGATCAAATTTTATGTTGAAATTCTGTGGTGTCTTCATCTGTAATTTATAATATATGTATTTTAATTTTATTTCTAAACTTCATTTTATTACTTTTCAGTATGAAGAAGCTCCCGGTATGTTCTGATTATTGATGTATACAGGTGGTAACATTTTTTAAATTTATAAAATGAGTTATGTCATTCATTTGAGCTTAAAAGAAAATTTAAAGCAACGATATTATAATTGTTCGAAAGTGAGATTTATAATTTTTTAATCAAACCACACATTTGAAGCTTGAGGCTACATTTTCCAATCCGTAGATTTTATCATTTATTACATTTATATTACATTTATTACACATATCATTTTTCTTCTTTGACAGAATAGAAAATATAAAATAGAGAATTAATCGTGGCAGTTCTCGCCAAGTCTGGCGCCAAAATATGTCACCAAAACCATTGTCAGCTTCGTGATATCTCACCAAATTACCGAGATACCCATTCACACAATGATAAATGGAATTGTCCCGTACCGGAAAAGTAAGAATAACGGAGCAATTCCCAGCAACGACGCAGGAAACAAATTGGTGACCATATTGAGGAACGGAGGTTGCCAGATAACAAAAAACCTTGTTTTAAAGCGCTCAAGATTTCTACAGTGAGTGGCAACAGTAACGGACTGTCCATCAATGGGCATATTGATGGAATTCCTTGCAATATGATCATTGTCACAGGAGCTAATGTTACCATAATTCGGAAGGATTTAGCTTAACAGTTTAAAGATAAACTTATTTGGACGCCATCCTGTGTTACCCTTCAGATTGCGTCTGGTGATAAGATCGACATAGCAGGGAAGTTAAACGTGAGCATCACGTTTGGGAGTGCCGCCTACCATGCCACGGCTTATGTGGCGGATGTTACAGATTCATGCATACTCGGATTGGACTTTTTAAAGGAATGCAATTTTTCCTTAGACTTCAAAAACAACAACAAACTGCTTTCAGCATTTGATGATATGACTATCCATCCGCTGAAGGGATCCTCACCTGGAAATGCCGACGTCTTGTCGGAAAGACCCAGCTCGGAAAGCTGCCGAAATCATACTAGAGTCAAAAAGAAACACAAGACTACCAGCTATTCTCCATCTCCAGGTGCTCTTCGGTCGAGACCTCCGTCTGCCTTGTGACCGCCTGTTTGGTCGCCCTACGGATGAGTCCTCATCGCCTGAGGAATACATCCAAGATGTCCGGGCCTGGTTTGAAGTGATGCACCGTTCTGCGCAAAAGCGAATCAACTTGGCGACGAAGTGAAACCGAGAACGAGAGTTACTGGACATAGATTCAACAAAAGAGACAAGATGTGGTTAGAGAACCCGATTCGACGAAAAGGACTCAGTCTTAAATTACAGTCACCTTGGGATGGTCCGTACACAGTCCTGAACAGGCTGAATGACGTCGTGGTTCGGATCCGTAAGTCATCGAACTCTGAACCTAAAGTCATTCATTACGACAGGTTAGCTCATTACTATGGCTATAGTACGTAGTGTAAATAATTGCGAATAGTATAAGACCATGGTTCGTTTTGTTTCTAAATGTGTATTTGATTTGATTTGTATTTAGTATTTGAAGCATTTGATTTGTTTAAGTTAGTTATTGAATACATTGCTCATGTTGTTTGTTATTGCAATGTAATTTTTATTATTGCATGTATACCTTAGTTGTAAGTTTGGCTTCCTGTACAGGGATTGTACTGCCCGGGATGTGTATACCAATATATCTTCCTCTATACCAATATATCTGTTCCTCGATTACCTGTACCCCAATTTATCTGTATGTTTGTTCTTCTTATCTAAATGACTTGTTACTTTAATGTAATTTATTATGTCAACAGTGTAATGTAATGACCTGATATGTAATCATTTTGTCTTTATACTCAATAAATGCCAGAAAAGGTTAGTGCAGTGGGGCAATACCATTTTTGTCTATGACGATGTTGTGGTGTCCCCTGCATTTTTTCCTGTCCTGTCTTGCCCGGGACGTGCAGTCCTTGGGAAGAGGGCAGTGTTACGGATTTTGGTATTTAAGTAGTTAATGTTAGTAGAATTATAAATAAAATTGCTTTATTCCCCGTGCAGTGCAGCGCGTGTCGCATATTAAAAGAAAGCTAAGCTGGAAACATTAAAAATACAAGAGCACGTGCATTTAATATTTAATAAATAAATATCTCTTTTTGATTTCGAGAAAATACCAGAGAATTCTCGCGCATTTAAAAAGCTTATATAAGCGGTCAGGAAAACCTCTCGTTAGTTAGTTAGTTGTTGTTTTAAGAGTTTTCTTAGAAAACTGCTCTTGTTGATTGTAGCCATTTCGCGGATTAGCTTTCTCTAGCTGTTTTCAATTAAGTTCCGTTGAACGTTTGAGTAGTTAAAAGATAACTACTGTAAGATATTGCAATACTGCACGAATATCTGAGGAAATTTAAGAGTTTTGTTTTATTTGTTGTAATAGTAATACATTTTGTTCATTTTTCATCGAACTTGTGCATTCAGTTCATAACGAACCCGTACGCACGCAACAATAGCATTATATTATTTTATTTTGTATTTTAAGGAGATTTTTCTTCCTTCCTTTAAGAATTAAAGCCAAGGATTGGCGGAGCTCAATATATCCGTTGGGGAAAAAGTCAATGCGATTCTGCTGACAGCGAAACATCACTCAGCGGAGTTACCTCAGCTTCAGATATTGGTCAAAGTGGAGGATCGAGTGAATTTCTGTGTTCTCCTTCAAGCCCCGACAACGTTGATCCTAGTGATTATTTTAAGAATTACGATCCACGAGATGCAAAATATAATCATCTTTTAGTCAGTCCTATTAGGTAAGTGGTTCAGTAGTTGTATTAGAAATTTTACAAGGTACTTGAAACTCATGTTACATCGAATGTCTAGCTTCAATCCATAAACGTCTGCATGTTGTATTTCATAACGAATTAGGAATTCGATTTAAAGCTAGAGTAGTAAAACGTAGGTTATTTAACTGTATAATTTAAAAGATGCCTCCATCACAGATTCTAAAGAAATGGTGCATACTAATATGTTCCGAAAAAGTCATGATAAACTAAGTCATTGAAGTTAGAAGATTTGTTCTATTAGAAATGAATAAAGAAAAAGTAGATAAAGAAATATATTATAAAGAGAGATAATATATATAGATAGATATATATAGATATATATATATATAGATAGATATAGATAGATATATAGATATATATATATATATATATATATATATATATAGATATAGATATATATATATATATATATATATATATATATATATATAGATAGATATATATATAGTATATATATATATATATATATATATATATATATATATAGGTATATTTTGGGTTCGAATTATAAGGTATTTCTCCCGTCTTCTTAGCATGCCTTCGTAGTATGATGGTCTGTGGTTCGATTCCCGGCGAGGGCGTTGCTCATTTTCCCCATTTCCTACTTCCAAAATATCCTAATGTCTCTACAGTGGTGCAGAACTAAAAGGGTGGTGGATGATGACTCTCCACAAACAGGATTTGGTGATTGGGTCCCCTAAAAACCTCAGTTGCCTTTTAAAAAGGGGAGTATATAAGGTAATTCTCCCGCCTTCTTAGCATGCCTTCGTAGTGTAGTGGTCTGCACGCTGGGCGCGTATTCCAGACGTCCGTGGTTCGATTCCTAACGAGGGCGTTGCACATCACTCTTGCTTCAAAATATATATTGTGTCTAGAAAATAAATTAATAAAGGTACTATTCCGTTTTGAGGACCGTAAAATATTGCAGCGAAAATGTTGTAGACTCATTAGGCTAATTGGAATCAGGAAAGATGAAAAATATGCAACCGCCTTCGCCACGAATCGAACCACGGACCTCTGGAATACCGGCACAGCGTGCTACCGTTACACCACGAAGGCAAGCTAGGGAAGAGGGAGAAATACCTTATAATGTATGCGCAAAAACGCCAAATCTAGCGTACGCGCTGATTTCAGATTGCGTAAGTTTATATAGTTCTATATTTCTTAAGATGCCATTGAAATACTAGTTTAATTTTAAATCCTTTTTTGATTTTAAATCCTTTTTTAATATCCTATGGATTTAACAATTTGGGAATTTCCCATGACGAAAAGTCGGCAATAGAATTTTGGGTAAAGTGCAGAATCACCCACTGTTTGACGCGTTTTTAAGAATTGCACATACTCGGTATCCATGTGCACATCGACCTATTTTCACTTAAAGAAAAAAAATCCCAGAATTGCACAAAAATGGCACTGCGCACACCCTTGGCTTTATCTATGTACACATCGACCTATTTTCACTTAAAAACTAAAAGAAAAAGTCCTTCACGAAGGCATCCCTTCCCTTAGGCAGGTAGCCCTGCCATAACTAGATAAACCGAGGCAAACCAAACTAAAAATATGATCATTTTTTAGCAAGTAAAATTTAAAGAATCGATGAATTTAAGGAAGCTAAACAGTCAATGATAAAGTAGTTTTACATTTCCTTTGCTTGCTTTAGGTATATAACTGGTATCACGTTCAGTCAGCATTCAGAAGGCGATGCGTAGCTGAATCTTCGACTTAGACTCTATAAGTGACCGAGCTATTGCGAAGAGCAATGTTGCCGGTTCCAGAATTAAAGCCCAAGGGCACTTGACATAAATAAATCCGGACGTGGAGAAAATCTCAGATGAGAAAACGGAGATAAGGGGAAGAAGAGAAGTACCAAAAGGAGCAAGACAATCCAATCGGACAAGTTCGCAAAATGTGACGAGCGATCATAGCTTTCAAGGAGGACCCAAGACAATGGAAATCAACAATGACAACAATACGAGAAGATACACTACAGCAATAGTTCCAATGACAAATTCAAATACAATTAAACAACATCAATCAGTAGAGCTAATACAAAAATTCAATACAAAACAACTATACAAATTCAAGAACAATTTTAAACACCACTACAACCCAATGCGAAAAATACAGCACTTTTTACAACGAAGCAATATTCAAACTACAGAAGAACTTCAATCAAAATCAGATGCATTGGAAGTATAAATAGCTAACAATTGATGATCTAAGTGAAAAAGTTGTCGTCTCCTCCCATGAAGGTGTGAGCTGCAAGTGGTCTGACGCTTCTATCTTCGAAGGGAATTTCATAATTAAAGACTTAAGAGTAATTAACAAAGTCACATTGCACAGCTTTGTTGAAGAATTTTTCATTAGATCTTCTGATGTAATCTGGAATCGTCTCAAGTTTTAAGTCTCTGTGTAAAAGTTTATTGCGGATAAGATAGTGTGAATCAGTAATAATGCGCAGAAATTTGTTTTGCACTACTTGTAATTGATGCAGTTGAGTTTGAGTGACCGTGTTCCAAGCAGGAGCAGCATAACAAAGTATCGATCGAATGCAAGTGGTATATATATGTTTTTTGGTACGCAAGCTAAGATTTGAATATTTTCCAATGACCGGGAGAAATCTGCATATTATGCCCATGGCTTTGCTCTTGACACTATTAATGTGATTAGACCATGTGAACCTTCGGTTCAAAATAATTCCTAAGTATTTGGCCTTTGTGACCAGAGGAACAGCTTCCTGAAAAAGGTAGAGGTCTTTAAAAGCAATGTTTTTCTTAGTTTTGCTAAAAATTAAAAGTTGTGACTTGTTAGCATTGATTTTTACTCGCCAATTTGTGCACCAGTCTTCTACGGCATAGAGGTAATTTTTCATTTTGTCTATTGCATGATTAGCTTGAATGGATTTAATTGCAATCGCCGTATCGTCGGCATAACAGGCTAACAGAGAGTAATTGTCCAAACCAGGCTGAGGAAAATCTGATATGTAGAAAAGATATAGTACTGGACCGAGAATACTTCCTTGTGGGACGCTGGATCTTATAGGTCTTGAATTGGATTTTTCATTTCCATGAGCGACGAAGAAAGTGCGGCTCTGAATCTTCGTGTTTCCTGCTCCAAATAAATACCTAATAGCCCAATTAAAAAATCGGTGGGCAATAATTCATCACCATCTGAGTTTGGCCGATTAGTTCCTCTCTTCCCAGTCACCCTTTAAGCGAGGGAGAGTATACGGAATTTTTTGCCTTTGCTCAGTGTTTTGTCACACTGTAACTGGTTATGTGTTCGGATGGTAATCGGAAGATCCGTGATTAAATACTGATCAGAGCAGAGTTTTCCACGTTTCTTGTTCCGAAAAGTCCTAATGTCTGTATAAGGTCTGAAGAAGTCAGAATAGAATAAATTAAATTTGAGCAAAGCGATGTTTCTCAGTTTTTACCCAACTCTTCCTTTCTCATTTACGCGTCAGAATTTCCGCCCCCCCCACCAACTTAAGTTTTTCTTTCAAGCCGTGCTTTTTAAATAAATATATAAAACTAGAAACTGAAAATACTTTTTTTAGTACACCAGAAAGTTCATATAAATTTAAGGTCTATTATTCATAATAAATACATAATTTTTGCATAATTATTAATAAGTATTACATTTAATAAATGTAAATAAGAAAGAAAATATTTGTCTTATCTGTGGCTTACATTTAGCGTACTCAGCAGTTTAGTCACATGACTTCAGCCCTTTAAATAAGCCTTTCTGGAGTCTTAGGTGAATGTTTGACATTAATTTGAGTCTACCATTCTAAAAATGAAAACATATTTGAGAAATTTTCCTTGAAATCCTTCTAAGGGCACTCTCCAGTAGGTGCGAATTCCTTTTCGGCGAAGGTTTGCGACCCTTGAGAACTATATACCTGCTAAATTAATAATTTTGAATTTTATTCTACCTTTAACTAATAAGAAGTTATTAGTCCAAAGGGGCTTTGTCCCTGAAAGACTATCGTTTTCGTTTTGCGATTTTGCGTCGGACTCATAAACGTCGGTTCACTTTTCAAACTGTTGCCACAAAATGTTAGAGTCCTGCATTATATTTGAAGAAATTAAATAATGAAAAATCTGCATAAATGATTGTCTATTTCTAGCATTGCGATAAAACAATGGTACATAGAGCCATCGAATTTTGAATGACGAAATCCTACTGCGAATATGGGCATCTGAAATCCCAAATTTGGAAATTTGTTTTATTATAGATTTTATATTTTGTAAAACTTTAACGAATTTTTGATTTACAAAACTCAATGCTTTAAAAGCGAGAAATGGGCAACGTATATATATAAAAAAATACTTTTATCTCCAGCTCGCGAGACTGTGTATATCGGAAATTCTAAAGATATGCTTAATTTAACATTATTTTGCGATATTGCTCTTGAACTGAATTTATAGTAGTTTAAGTGCAAAGAAACATGATATTTAATAAATAAAGGTAACTCTCAAAACGTTAAAAAAACGCCCCTTTGGACGTAATTTAAAATCTGAAACATTTCAGATTTTTTTATTTTTTTTTTGTGATTTCTGTCTTTTTAAGAGGTTGAATTTATATAAGATGATATAATTTGAACCAATATTTGTAAATAATTGCACAATTCACCGGAAACAGATCATCATGCATAGTCAATATTTTGAGCTCATTCGGTGCATTCTACAGATTTTAGTTCCGATTGATTATGAGAATTAACTAGCCAGGTAAAAAATGTAGTGCACGGATGCCTTCGTGGAGCATTTTCTAAGAGAAATTGTTCCGTATTCATGTTATATACGGAAAAGCAACTCCACTACATTACACAAAACCCACCTGAGGACAACAGGTCTACTATTATGTTTCCATGAGAAACCACAAAAACCAACCAGGCAGCCAACCCTTTCCTCTGGGCTTGTTCTCGGGTCAAACTACCAGCATTCAGCAGCTTTAACCGTTCGCCACTAATGCGTAAGTTACTTGGGTTACAGTAAGCTTATCAGCTTCCGAGCTTCATATATTCCATGAGCGACGAAGAAAGTGCGGTTCTGAATCTGCGGTTTGAAACTGGTTTTGTATACTTGGACAATTACAATGCTAACGCACTGGGGCTAATTTGTAATTCTCTTTTCTGTAAAAATTACTTATGAATTTCTATAAAAAATCTTTTTCAGGTATCGTGGAGATTTGCAGAGGTTTAAATCAATTAAAAACAAGCCAATTGCCTGTGCTCGCTGTAGAGTCTCTCAAAGAACTGCTGTTTTAATGAAAGCGGCGGTCACTTCCTGCCCCAACGACAACTGGGTGAAAGAATACGAAGGCATCTTAATGGCTCCAGGCATGAGCAATGCTAAAGGAGAGTTTATCTGTGTGGATAAAGAAATGCAAGTTCCGGCTAGTAAAATTACCTTTGGCAGCTCTATAGAATCTCGTTTGTCAGAGGTACAAGAAGTCACAATTGCATGTGGTTCTTTGCCTTGTGGACCTTACGAAGTATCCCAGGCATTCCCATGCGTAGTTTGTACTATTTAATTATGGGAAAAAGGACTCTCAAAATGAGAAATCATTTTAGAGTAAAATGGTTAATTTAGCTTGTTTGGTTTCTGTGATTTTAAAAATAAATAGAAATTATGTCCAAAGGTTTCGTCTTTTTTTTTTTTTTTTTTTTTTTTTCTGTTTAAACTGTTAAACTGGAATGACTACTGTTTTAATTGTTGAATTAATAAAGAGTATTTGCGAGCAAAATTATGTTCATTGGTACTTTGAATTTCGTACATCTACAAGCTAATGCCTATCGACTGTTCGATTTGTTATACTATATTGATATGTAGTAAGAAGTTTTAATTAGGACAATGTTTCTTATTTAATTAAGAAAAAAAATTCTATTTTGTATTCAATGATTTTGTTATAGTATTTTTGACGATAAAATGTAACATAACATTTCGACAATGTACCACTTTGATGTTGTTATCGCCATCGTCATATATATTTTTGCTTAATTTAAACTTTAATAATAACTCTTTTATTAAAGACAGCTCTCAACAGAGTTCAGCAGATTTTAAGCTTCAAACCAAACATAAAATTGTCTGATGGATGCGATAATGTATACATGATAGACTGCTAGTAAGGCGTTTATCTTGTAACAGAAAGTAGCCTTTGAAGAAACCGCACATAGCCCGTGAACTAAACCACGGCTCTCTGGTTGCCATCGTTTTGGTTTGGAGGAGGGTTGACCTATTTTTAATCATATGGTCCCGCTGGGGCAAGGTGGATTGGGTCTCCCTCGAATAGTTACTTTAATAATAACTCTTTTATCAAATACATCTCTAAACAGAGTTCAGCAGATTTTAAGCTTCAAACCAAACATAAAATTGTCTGATGGATGCGGTAATGCACACATGATAGAATGCTAGCAAGGCGTTTACCTTGTAACAAGAAATAGCCTTTGAAGAAACCACATATAGTCCGTGAACTAAACCACAAGTCTCTGGTTGCCATCGTTTTGGTTTGGAGGAGGGTTGAAATTTGAAGAAAGCACACATAGCCCGTACAAAATTTCCACGAAAGACAGACGAAAGATTATGTGCCGCCCAACCGGAATATTGGTTATCTACTCTGACTGCCATATCGAAGGGCACGGGTTCGAATCTCGGAGAAAGCACTGATGTTTGTAAATGTGTAGTGTCTGTGCGGCATAGAGGCATTATAAATGTATGGCGAGCCGAACGTCATTTTGATAGGTTGGTGCTAGGAGAAGAGGGGTAGGAGACCTTCGTACCCGTCCCTCAGCGATGCAACAACATTGGGGGTGGAATTGAGCAAAGTTGTACTATGCTCAAGGATCTTGCCAACGACAGGAACAATGCTGCACTCCTTGCCCCGACGAATTTCGTGAACTTTTTCTGATGTTACTCTCAGACAAGTGAGGTAAGTCACAAGAACAGAAACAAAGATTACGTACACTGGTGTGGAAAACTTAAGCAACAATATAAATTTTAATCAGATAGGCATGAAATTGCAGAAAAGAGGTTCTTGCGATGAGTACAATGAACACGCAATTCAGTAGAAAGTTCATAAGTATGCAAATGTCAGGAACAAAACGTCACAAGCGACATGAGCGTACGCAAAATACGTGCGGTCGGCGGGCTCAAGTCAAGTTTACAATAAAAGGAAGGGCGTAGACGCAATTAAAGACATTCACTGCAAGTACAAGTGAGTTCTTTCGTGAAATATGGCTAGAAGAAATTACCTGGATGACTTCACACCTGGAAGAATGATGGGAAAGCTGGAGGAGGGCGTAGTGTGACTAGTGTAGCTGAAGAGTTCGGGATAAACAAAAGTGTCGTTTCGCGCGCTTGGAAAACCTTCTAAACCATAAGTACAGCTATTAGATTAGTGGTGGCCGCTACCAGGACACCAACGGGGCGAGAAATGATAACTTGGTTTATCGTCCTACAGGCGACTTCACAAAGGTAGCCTATTCGCCCACCATTCTTTATGCTGCATCCCTTTGAAAGTTGGCTATCGACGACACCGTTTAGAATGGTGCAAGGAGCACGAAAACTGCGCATTTCATCAATGGAGTAGTGTTCTCTTTATGGATGAGTGCCACAAGCGATTCTCAACGCCAGCTGATTTGGAGAGAGGTCGGTTTCATTCCAGGATCCCAGGATAGTTTCATTCCAGTAACATCACGGAAAGAGACCGTTATGGTGGTCCTGGTGATTTCGTCTGGGGAGGCATTATGCTGAACGGGCGCAAAGAGCTCCCTATTTACGACAGTTTCTGTAACCGGAGATCGCTGTTGTCAGGAGGTGATCCTTCCCCTTACGCGTCTGTTCTGTGGTGCCATTGGAGCAGACCGATTTTATGGATGACAATGCACTGCTACACCGGACTCCTGCTATTCAGAAGCTACCGAAAAGTGAAGATATCACTCGAAAGGATTGGATAGCGTACTCACCTGATTTAAATCCAATAGAACATGTGTGGGATGCTTTGGGAAGATGGCTTGCGGCAAGATTACATTCTCCGAGAGCACCGAACAACTGAAACAGATCGTGATTGAGGAATGGATACTCTTATCTCAAGGTCTGTTGGACAGTCTGGTGCTGAGTATGGAGAGACGATGCGAAGCAACCATTGCAGTAATGGGAGGGCATATGCCATTCAAAGGAATATCTACTTGTTGTTTTTCCTCTTGTACAGACAGTCTTGTGTACCGATACTATGAGTTCAATAAAGCCTTTTTTGTTTGATACCACACTGTTTGCATTGTATTCATTTTTGTGCACCCATGGTTTCGTCATCGTTTAAATACAAACTGCTGTCTCACATTTCTGAATTTCATGTCTCTCAGAAGATTTCTCTTGGAGTTATGGCAAAAAGAACACCTGTTGCTTAAGTTTTTCTCACCAGTGTATTTTGTGCATAATTGAAAAAAAGGCTGAAAATTATCGAGGATGAAATATACTGGTGGATGGCTGCTGCACTTAGCTCATTTAGAATTTCCGGTACGTGTAAACTTCTTAGAAAATAACGTATTTTATACATTTAGGTGTTCTTACTCTATGATAAATTTTGAAATCTCCTGCGAAGTCAAGAAATGGATTGAACTATAAACATTTTCTGAAATTCGAAAAATAATTCCTAATGTCTTCTTTCCTCTCAGACTCTACAGAAGATAAATGATGTTCTGTACAAAACCCTAGCTTAAATGCTTCACTTAATCCCACTAAGCTGTAATCAAGAGAGTGGCTGAGAATTCTAGCCTTACTTAGAAAGACCTATTAGCGAAAAACGTGCCTTCTCTAAAATAACAGAAACGGGGAAAAACTAGTTGCTATTATCTATTAGTTGCTAACAACTATTAGTTGTTGTTAGATACATTTATATTTTCAAATACTTTGAGATATAAAATATATGCTAAATGTAATAAAACAAAATAAATTACGTTATTAGTTTTCTATTTATATAGTAGAAGAAAATTCAGCAATAAAAATTTCAGGTATCACTAATATTTCGTTTTATAAAAATTTAATAAACTGTGGTATAAATGTAATAAAACAAAATAAATTACGTTATTAGTTTTCTATTTATATAGTAGAAGAAAATTCAGCAATAAAAATTTCAGGTATCACTAATATTTCGTTTTATAAAAATTTAATAAAATGTGGTATAAATGTAATAAAATAAAATAAATTACGTTATTAGTTTTCTATTTATAGTAGAAGAAAAAAATTCAGCAATAAAAATTTCAGGTATCACTAATATTTTCTTTTATAAAAATTTAATAAATTGTGGTAGTGAATGTCCACATACTTAAAATGCCACATATTGATGAATTAGGTGTCATTATGCAGAATATTATTCCGAAGTTGCAAAATATTTGGATATTTTATTTTTATTTATGTAATGTAATAAGTATAATTAAGATGTAAAAGTTTTTCATAACGAATGCTATCAATTTTTATTGGAGATGTCAAATATTTTTACCAAGCAGAAGTAAAAAAAAATAAATGAATGTAAACAGTAATGAGAAATATGTAAGTTAATATGTGCAGACAATTTTAAATGGGAGTCACTAAAAGGAGGGAGAGAGGACAAACTTTTGTCGACGCAGAAATTAAATGTTGTAAGTACATTTACGTAATTAATGAAAAATATCAATTAAATCAGAAATAAATTTCAACGAAATTATTTAATCAGCTGTTTCTTCTAACTAAAATCCATTCTTCCCGCCCTGTTTTGAATAAATAAAAACTCTTTAACGTAAAAAAATGTCACACACGAAGTAATCATCTCGTCATCATGAAATCTGGTACTCATAATGGCCACAAATAAGGAGAGACATCATCATGATAGAGTAGTAGGATCAGTTATTTGTTCAAAACAATATGTATATGGTAGCTCCATCTTTGCATCAGATACAAGAGATTATCTCACATCCCACTTTTTCTTCTGCTCAATTTGATCAGAGCATAGATTAACCATAACTTAGCAACGCTACATAAGACGAAAACTACCGCATAGAAGAGTATTATAGAGCACCAATAAGAACACAAGAGAGGAGAGAGGAAAAATTATTGGAATTAGAAGTTTTTGGTTTTCAAAGTGTCCAACCTCACAGACATTGCATGCGAGAGGTTGTTGACAAAAATGATGAGCGGAACATCGCAGAGAGAATCTGTAAAACTTCATGTTTTAGGCACCTTTCAATTCTGACAAATCTCATGGATTAGATTCCTTGGTTATCTGAAACCCACTGAAATCCCCGTGGGTTTCGGATAACCTCAAAGCCAGAAATCCACCGGAGTAAGGTCAGGAGATCGCGGTGGCCACGTAGCTGCAAAGTTACGGGTCATGAATATCTTGAAACGTTGTACACGTTGAAACTTGTAATTGCAATAAATGTTTTTTCCGTTATCTACCTAGTGTTGTCACTAGCAGCTTACATTGCTCTGTTTTGAAAATACTCCTATTTTACGCCAATAATTTATATCATACGTATATCGCTTCAACGCCATTTCTGGTTTTTCAATACGTTCATCAGTTTGAGGTGGAAAAAATGCTTATTATCATTCGAAAATGTAGAAATGTTTTTCTTGTCACCTTAACAGCTGCTACTCATCTTTTTACAT